ACATTATTCCATACAAAACGGCAATTTCATAATATAAATTGTGAACACCAGCGTAAAATAGTAGCTTAATGCTGCTGTGTTTCGTGTGGTGAGTGTAGAGAACCGTAGACCCTTTTTACTGGATACGAGGCATTCCATCTTAATCCTCACGGGTAACAACGCATCTGCATTTTGATTTGTAATCGAGGATAGATGTAGATGTCTATGGGCCGTAGCAACCACTTCCATCAGGTGGATTGTGTGCTTGTTTGTCAACTTATCCTATAAAAAATTAAAAAAAAAACTAGTTACTGTTGGGGCTGTTCGACACATGACTCCTTTCATTTCTGAGAGGGTTAAGAAGTGTCGTAAGTCCGACGCGATGCTGCAGTACATGTTAATAAATTTTCATTTCAAATATTTTATTCGTCTAATGTGCAGGTTTTCTCACAGTGTTTTCCATTATTCTCTAGCACATTTTTGTTGAAGCGGGCGGGGTTCGAATTCCGATTTGTCGCTAACTATAACATTTACAGAAACCTCTTCGGTCTCAGAAAACTATTTGTAGGTGTTAAAATTGATGATCAAATCCTAATGGATTTGATCATCAATCAATTGTATAGTTTTAAGTTAGTAAGGGTCAGTGTAAACAAATTAAATTTTAAACATGCCTTTGTAGCTATGTAATATTATACCATATCGTTTCGCAAATATTATATACCATTCGAAATGTTGTGCAAGAAATGAAACCCGTATTACTTATAGGTACATAAAACTGCTTCACATAAGCGCCTAAGCGTTGACTGGGGATTTGCATTTACTACGCTGCAGACAAACTGGTATTAGCTTCGTTTCATCCACCCTCGTAGTTTCCGTTTCCGAGTGCACGATGGCCGTGAATTTGTCATTGAACTTACGTGCAGTGGTATTATATATTGAACCGCGCTAACTTTCTTGACATTTGATTTATATTAATATTGGATACAGCACTTAATATTTCTAAAGCTCTATCGGGTTATTTTTATGTCACTTTTCCTTGAGATACATACACAACTATATAAAAATTGAAATACTACAATTTGGCCACAATATATATAATATTTATACGTGGTAGAGCCATGCTACAGTTATATTAGTAGTATAGTTGTAGCACGAATGGGTCGGCTCGACTGGGGAAGGACCACGCTCTCACAGAATACCAGCGTGAAATAGTAGCTTAATGCTGCTGTATTTCGTATGGTGAGTGTAGAGAACCGGAGACCCTTTTTACTGGAAACGAGGCATTCCATCTTAGTCCTCACGGGTGACAACGCATCTGCATTTTGATTCGTAATCGAGGATAAATGTAAGTCTATGGGCCACAGAAACCACTTACCATCAGGTGGACGGTGTGCTCGTTTGTCACCCTATCCTATAAAAAAAACAATAAAAAATATATAATAAGAAAACATGTCATTATATATCTACTTATAGTAATGATAATTTTAAGCCATTAGAGTAAGTCTAAAATTTTCATACCAAATAAAGCCTCACAAAAACATTGTACAGTGCAAGTACCTCAATATAGCGACTTCCTCGATTTAACAAATTCTTCGCAATCCCCTTGAAATGTCCATAAGAGTCAATGTAAAATATTGCCTTTACATTGCGAACATTTCTTGCGAACAACCTCTTTACAACGAATTTTAACTATCAAGAAAAAGTGTAGATACCTCTAATTAACGAATTTTGTTAACCCAAGACCTTTATATAAAGTTTATTAGTAGAAGTTGTGAATAAAATTATTTTTTATCTCTTTGTAACAAAATTTAGACCAACCTAACCTCAACATAACAAACCTCAGTTCAACGAATTACATAATATAACGAATATTTACTTATTCCCTTCCGATTTGTTATATGGAGGTTGCACTGTATTTATAATAGGTAGTATAGAACTGGACAGCCAATATGAAAAATTAAATTATGGTCACAAAGGAACATGTATTCATTAAAAATTATCCAAATCATTACCATAGCCTGGAATTGGGGATCAGGTGGTAAAAATCCAATTTTTTGGAACTAATTCCAGCACTCAACTGGTACACCGGCAATAAAACTAAATAGAATGACGTTACCTCAGAGTATACATACTCGTAGCTTGCTTATGTATATTCTAAGGACTTTACGCTTATTTGCTCATTGAATATAGATACATACACCAGCGTCCATTTCGCCATGGTGCACATCTTGGTTACAACCAGGTTTAAAAAAAAATGAGCATAGATGCATTCTTGTTTCTTGTCCGTTCCCTTTATTTATTCTTATAAATCATTAGCTACATAGGCATCCAGCCACAGTTTTTAGATTCATTCGCGATGTTATGCACGATTATGACGACATTATGCAGTCACAAATGAATCAACACGGCCGTGTGGTGTTATAAGAGGCGACTATGGGAAATCTCGGAAAGTTGATGGTTTCCTACGCGTGGCAGTATAACCGTTTGTAGATGTAAATAACCCAGGCCGGAGACGACGAGACGAGGAGCAGCGTCAAAGATGCGAAACGTAGGTACCAGACGTTTCTGTGACGTACGTGTCTGCTACGATAGTATCTTGCTTACGACGCGAGATGTCCAGCAGATGATTTTATCGATGTGATGAAGAAATCATTTCGCTATTTTAGAGCTGTCATAATTCAGACATGACTATCATGATTAATTTCTCCAAAGAGTTGGCTTCAAATAGATCATTTTAAATTAGATCCAATCCAACATACTCAAAACAATACTACATAAAAATAATACTTTATATAAACAAGTCCGCACGTGCATGGTGTATTGCTGCTATATATGGGCTGCTGCTGCAAAATGCCACCTAGCAGCTTTGGACTCAATGGAAAGGCGAGCTAAGAAGCTTATTGGTGACCCGAATTTGGTTAAAACCAATCTTACCAGCCTCGAACACAGGCGCAAAGTAGCCAGCCTTTCGGTCTTTTACAGGATGCATTTCGGAGAGTGTGCGCAGGAATTGCATAATTTAATTACTCCCTCACACATGCACCATCGGGCAACCAGACGTTCGGCCAGTCTCCACCCTTTCGTTGTTGACTTACCACGCATTCGAACCAAACGGTTTGCTACGTCGTTCATCATGCGTTCAGCAAAGGATTGGAATAAGTTGCCAGCATCTGTCTTTGCATCCGAATACAGTGCGGGTGTCCTCAAGGCAAGAGTGAATAGGTTTTTGTTAAGTCAGTGCGCTTCAATATCTTAGGCTACATCACCACTTACAATCAGGTGGGATTGTAGCTAAGTGCTGGCTTAGAATAATAAAAAAAACCGCTTTTAGTGACTTGCACACATAATGAGGCACGTAGGGCATACGTGTTATCTACACTCCTTATTGTACTACTTCATTTTTACCAGGATATACCTCAGATCACTGGAGGACAGCCACACGCTTTCAAGCGGATCAACTTGCCATCGAATATTATATACCTACCTAGTTTAATTTGATTTCGCGTTAAAACCGAGCTTTATTATAATGGGACTATTAAAGTCTGGTAAGATGTCTTGCAAACAAAACAGGACAGTATCTATTATGCATTATAATCCTAACTTCTGTTTGTTCTGCTTACGTAGTAACTGTAATACGATTGGGGTCGTACATAGGACCCTATTTTATTCAACGAGCGACGGCTAAATGCAGCGGCGGGGTTTTTTTTTGTGCTTTGCTGTTACTATGATTGCGTTCGAGCAAACCGTTCAAGTACATCTGTGCTCTGAAGTTATTATTTTTGCTAATTACAAGTAATAACAATAAAGACATTTCATTATTATAAAACGTCTTTAGTGACAATAAAGGGCAAAATAAAATTCTACTTTCAATAACTAGTTACTAAAGTTATCCATGAAATAAATTATATAATATGACTAAATATAAAAGGGAAACAACTGAACTATTTTATTCATACAAAAGTAATTTATGTTGTATTTTAACCGTGTAGTTGGCGTCGTAAAAATATCAACTTCCCTTTTCTTCCCGTGGGGGTTGTAAGAGGCATTAGAGGCAGCAGCATCTCTCTGATAACAACTCAAAGTTATAAAAATTGCGGCTGCCATCCTGCCTTTTTATGAAAGAGGAGGAAAACGAGCATACGGCTCTTCCATCGTACTCTGCATAACTAACATAACTCGAAATTCCATCTTTATCATCTCTATGGCTGCCGGTCTACTACCGTGCGACTTACGCGGAGTGTTCTGCCTCCCACGACCACACTGTGGAATTAACTATCGCCAGTGGTTTTTCCGGACAAATACGACTTAGTGGCCTTCAACTACGATTAACAATGTTTGATCGAAGGCCTTCAAGAGAAGAGCCTAGGTTGGCGTTGAAGATGTTCATGGGCGACGACTTACCATCATAATGGACGACACACATACGTATCACGGTCAGTATAGAGATGATAAGGAGGGAATTTCGAGTTATGTTGCAGAGTACGATGGTGGAATTCAGCAGCTGCAATTTATCCTAAAAATTTCTCTAAGCCCTGCCCGTTCTATATGCGGTAGAAGATGCAAAGAAATGAAACGTCTGCCTGGGACTAGAATTAGAAAAGAACTTGGAAGTCGAGATACGGTCCGCTCTCCGTTGAATACGGTCTAGTAGGAGCAGCTGATACTGGGGTACCCTGGCCCATAGATGAGAACAGTATTCCACACGAGGCCGAACCTGCACTTTCTAAAACTGCAAAGTACCCTGAGATTGATGAGATACGATAAAGGGTTTTTTTTGCGGTAAACGCACGAACCTATGTCTTTTGTGTGTAAAACTGGACTACATTTAGTCGCCCACAATCTGAGACTTTTTTCTTTATTCAACTAAAAAGCCATTATGTCTATGTCAGTTACTGCTTTTGTAGTTACATACTTGTATGCCCAAATGGAAAAAGACAATAGAATGAATATAATTCGGATTTTTATAAATAATTTCATACATATATTTAAAATTATTTTTAAATATGTTTGGTATGTTTTAGGCGAAAATCTCTCAACTAGAAGATGATCTCCCCATTTCAGAAGATCCGATACCAGAAATGACGCACAACGTATATGGTTTAGATCATGCATCGATTTTGAGTAGGCTTCTGGCTGCAAGAAGAAAGAGTAAGGATGCCTGGAGTAGTCTCAAGGCAGAGTGTCCAGTGATATCTTATAGGGCTCCTTTATCAAAAGAGTCGGAGGTCGACACTGGCAAGCAGAAACAAGAATTAGCTGAATTTCTACTCAAGAGACAGGTGTGTATGGCATCATATTCTTTAGTAATTTATTTGGCTGTAAGGAGCAGGCTTAAGCTATTGTTTCGGTAACACTTTACCCTGCTGCTTGCTTTATGCTTAATATGGCAGTTCCGTAAGCGTGGTTTAGGATTTAGCTGCAGTGCTGCGGAATGTACTATTATCTAGATGTTAGTGCTGTTAGTCTATGCGACTCTTACAGCTTCATCTGTCTCAGGGCTCGCGGCCTTGCAGGCCGCGAGCTAATTGGAGAAGGGAAAGGCAATGAGGTAAAGATGATGATGAAATGGTTTATGATTTGATATTGTTACCAATCATCATGTCGCCTTTTTAGGCGTTTTTCTTTGAGCTATCTAACCGCAGTCCGAGAGGGGGAGTGCGGACCCCCCGTCTCTGACTGTTCAGCTCGTGTCGGTCGATGGTCTGGGCGGTGAGAACCGTCCATCCGGAGATGTGCAGATCAATTAACTCTTATCTAATTGATATCCGCTGCGAGCCTCAACCGTCATTAGCGCTCCATTGTCCTTATCTACTTATCTATTGTTGATTGACTACCGTCATTATCTATTATTCGTCCAGCGTGTGGGTCGGCTTATGCTATTGTATTATACTCCTTTGTTCCTATCTACAACACTAATCTGAATCATCAATAAAACACATTACCTAATTTTGTTAAAATATTTATTTATAAAATACAAAATCTTATTACTTATTATCTATAAAATAGGAGCGAAACATCTCATCCACTAACATATCGTTGTACAATGTGTTCTCTGTAAATATACTCGTAAAACTATGCATTGAACATCCCTGAAACTTATATAGCAAATACATTAAGCAATATTCGCCACAAACTGAAGTCCTATCAACATTCCCGTTCCATCTTTTAAACACATTACCTAATTTTGTTAAAATTTTTATTTATAAAATACAAAATCTTATTACCTATTATCTATAAAATAGGAGTGAAACATCTCATCCACTAACATATCGTTGTACAATGTGTTCTCTGTAAATATACTCGTAAAACTATGCATTGAACATCCCTGAAACTTATATAGCAAATACATTAAGCAATATTCGCCACAAACTGAAGTCCTATCAACATTCCAGTTCCATCTTTTACAATTTCGTACAGGTGCCCGTCCATATGAATCAAAATATTCACCGACGTCATTCGTATCGATATATAAAGCTACCCAATGTGACCCTGGTTTATCATCTGTACCCAAATTGCATATTACCTAGTCAGGTCATAAATTCTATCACATGTTTAATGTAAAATAATTGAAACAAGTTTATTCATTATGTAACCATTTATATACCAAAATGAACTTAACAAAACATAGATTCTTATGACACTATAGTTTATTCAAAATGACCTCCGTAATTTTGAATACAGGCCTTCAATCTGCGCGGCCAGTCGTCTATCTCACCACGAACGAGGTCCATGTCATATCGGCGGCTGCCTTAATTAAAGATGTCTTGAGTGACTCGAAATTGGGATGAGGCTTTGAGCACGCCTTTTCCTCCAAGTTTTACCATATCTTGTAATCTAACGGATTCAAATCTGGACTGGTCTTTGTGTCGGATGAAGTCGATTTCACGCGCCGCCAGCCAGTCTTTTTTTTTGTTTTTAAAGAACGTTACCTCCACACTAGGTTTTTCTCCTGTATCGTGGGGGCAGTTTACAAACACAAATTTCACAAGGACAAACATCCAAACTCGGAACAATTACTTGTAGGTCGTACAAATACTTGTTCCGTGCGGGATTCGAACCCGCGACCCCCAAGCGCAGCCACTCATTGCTAAGCCACTACGCCACGGAGCTGTCAAAAGTCTTGTCTGCTCTTCGCTCTATGAGCTGACGCCGAATCTTGTTGGAATACCCAGTGCCTGTTATTGAACATGGTATGAGAAACAGGTTACACAAGGTTCGTCAGGACTGTATTTTGATACACAACTGCATTCGTTTTTAACCTTTCTCACAAAAATGTACCTCTGTTAAGCCCCAATAAGAAACTCCCAACCATACCATGAGCGAGGATGGAAAATGACCTCGTTGGACACGCGGAATACGGTTGCTCGCTTCTTCACTACTGTGTGCGTACACCTTATCATTTTGTTTGTTGTAGCTCTCTTCTACGGTAAAAATTTTTTTTTCCGAAAAAAGAATTTCCCGATATTTTTTTCCCGCGTACCGCTTCACCAAAGCGCGGCATCTCTTCAGTCTCAGATCCATTAGACGAGCATTCAAACGATGTCCTGTTTTTCTTCGATATGCCCGAAGCCCTAAGTCTTCATTTAACGCCGTGGTTCTGCTTAACCCCATCTGAAGGGCCAACAGTTTCTGCTTACGTTTGGGATTTCTTTGAATTCGCACCTTTACAGCTTTTATCACTGCTGGAGTCCTAACAAATCGAGGGCGACCACTTCTTGACCTGGCATCTACACTAGAGTCTTCATTGTATCGTTTGATGGTACGATAAACGAATCTTTTGGTTATATTCAAATTTTTCAGTATATCAAAAAATTTAATTGGCGCGTAATCGCAACTGCAACACGGTCTTTTTTAAGCGTCCACTCCATATGTAAAAATGAGTAAAATTCTAAAAAGTGTACAGTTTTATTTTCATGAACAATTCGAATTCAATAAACTTTTTTGTGGCCAGCATTCTAAAAGAAAAGTTTTTACTGTGTGACAATACTTATGACCTGACTAGGTATATACGTTGGTACGTGGGTGTACATGGGCAGTCTGTTAGCAGCATAAACATTATTTTCTAGACTGGGGTGAATCTTTTTCAGATGTTGTTGTACATCTAGTGTATCCATGATATTACTGCTATTAGTAGATTACTACAGTACAATCTACTCAATGACTAACATAGGAATGATCAATTATGTGATTTCTAAATATTAAATTGCATTTTTTCTGTTATACAAAACGTATTTGAGTCATCAATACACTGAATAAGACGCAACACGAAGAATGTGAGATAAGGTTGTTGACGCATAAAGTTATTATCAATTCTACTGTAGAAATTCTTTAGATTAGAATTATTACTTACTGGTACTATATAAGACCAAGCAACTGCAGTCATGGAGTTAGTGTATGGTCGTTTGACCGCAGTGTATCTATCAATAATACATTTGTGTTACTTCAACGCATCAAAGGCCATAGATGTAAGTGTTTAATCTATTGACAAACTTACTTTTCTTTCTGTTATTTTTTTACGTGTGTATGATTTTGAACGACAGGCCTGTTGGTCTAGTGGTTAGTGACCCTGACTGTTATGCCGGAGGTTGTGGGTTCGATTCCCACCCAGGACAAATGTTTGTGTGATGAGCACGATCATTTGTTCTGTGTCTGGGTGTAATCTATCTATAATATTTATGTATTTAGAAATATATAAGTATGTTTATCAGTTGTCTAGTACCCATAACACAAGCTCTGCTTAGCTTGGGACTAGATGGCGTTGTGTGATAGTTGTGGAATATTATTATTATTATTATTATTTAGTGTTAACAAATTATATTTAAATATTTTGTGTGTGTATATGATTAAGCCGTGGTAGCTCAGATGGTTAGCGCAAGCTGTAAATTTTACAGTACGTAACGCGGGTTCGATCCCCGCCGACACCAATTAAATTGTTAATTGCAATTTTAAGTGTTTATTCTATTGACACACTTACTTTTCTTTCTGTTATTTTCTTACGTGTGTATGATTTAGTGTTAACAAATTATATTTAAATATTGTGTGTGTATATGATTAAGCCGTGGTAGCTCAGATGGTTAGCGCAAGCTGTAAATTTTACAGTACGTAACGCGGGTTCGATCCCCGCCGACACCAATTAAATTGTTAATTGCAATTTTAAGTGTTTATTCTATTGACACACTTACTTTTCTTTCTGTTATTTTCTTACGTGTGTATGATTTAGTGTTAACAAATTATATTTAAATATTGTGTGTGTATATGATTAAGCCGTGGTAGCTCAGATGGTTAGCGCAAGCTGTAAATTTTACAGTACGTAACGCGGGTTCGATCCCCGCCGACACCACTTAAATTGTTGATTGCAATAACATGTCTGAGAAAATTTCGAAGGCATGTGAAGTTCGCCAACACGCATTGAGACCGCGCCGCGGACATTTCCTAGCCATAAATACAAAGACAATAGCAGAAAGTAAAAAGTTAAAAAATACTTTTTTAACAATGACAGTCATTAGTTGATCATTAGTGAATGTGATTCTGTTTTCTTAAATTACAGGAAGAAAAGAGCAGAAGGAAGAAATGGGGTGATGGGAAGTAATGAAGAATGAATTGTTATGTGAAGTTTGTTGGAACAAACATATTTTAGTCACGTGTAAATACTTTTAACATTTTGGTTCAAAATGACACAAAATCTAAAAAATATTAGATACATCATCGACATGGACGGATTTTACATTACATATCCTCATAAACATTTTCAATGTAGAGAAATGGCTATTCTAGACGTAAAACTATCTAATAAAAATGATTCGTTTATCGATCATTATTTGTTTCAGCCAAGTTATCCTTTCAATTATTTGTCGCCAAAAGACAAAAAAACTGTTCGTTATTGTGAAATACACGTGCACGGCATTCCATATTTTGATGTGACCGAAGAATTAAAATGTGCCTACAAACAAGAGAACATCATTCCCATATTAAATTGGTATATTAGAAATTTGTGCAAAGACGAAGTGATCGCATACAAAGGTGGTTCAACAGAAAAACAATTTTTAAAAATGTTGACGACGAATGATAGAATTTTTAATATTGAAGAATACAAATGTCCAAAATACAATGATTTGGTAAATGTCATAAATTTAAACAAACGTTATGTGTGTAATAATCATATATTTGCAAAAAATAAACACAAAATTTTACATTGTTCTTGTGATGAAGTGTGGGTTTTTTACAAGTGGTTATTACTTGAAAATAAAATTTTAAATTAATCATAAATTTTGTTTGATTT